AGTGAAGTCATGTTGGTACAGTAGTCAATATGGTAGCTTTTACATACTAAAAACTCAATACCTGATGGTTGTCTCCACCAGCAGCAAAACCAGACAGTCTCTCAAAATTCTACCATGGTAATGTTCTTGATCAGTAATATTCTTACTGTTAAAATGATTTATCCAGATTTATCTTAGCTACATAATTCAAACTTGTCTGTCAACATGATTCTGTGTTTTGCCATGTTGGAGAGTTGTCAGAATCACTAACTAGAGGAAGCCTGTAAAAGTTTTTGACTCTCTTGGCATCAGTCTTCTATTAAATAATATTTGCAAAGTTTTAACGGCTATACATAATGTCAAAATGGCTATGTAGTTATCCTATTGTGATAAGTGCCTTCCATGGTCTTTTCCTTTCTCAAAAGCTTTGAACATCCCACATAAAGCAGGGAATACTCTTTTCTACATAAACCTTTCCAAGTATTTCAAGGCTGGGAGCTAACCTTGTCTTCCTTGGGATAACATGTAGACTTTTTCAGTCTCAAAAAGGGTTCCTTTCAAATTCTGATATGAAATATGGTATGTGAATTTCCTTCTGCACTTATGTTCTAAATAGAAAATAAAAACCACATTCTAGAAAGCACAAGGAAACACCAAAAATAAGATAGTGGGGGAGGCAAAGTTGAAAATACTGCATTTAAAGAGATAATCTGCATACAGTGTTCTCGACAGCCAAATTCTGGGCCTACGGGAGCATGCATGCCCTGTCAGAGGCAGACAATAGGGTGGGTTACGTGGGAGGATGGCAAGGGAGCAGCACATTCATCTGGCATAATCTTGGAAAGGAGTGAACTTCTAACCATTAGTTTATAATGTTGCTTTGCCTCTTTGCTAAGGTCACCAAGAAAAATCCTATTAAAAAAAATTTTTAGTTTCTTTCTTGAGTCAATCTCTATATTACATTGACCTAAGTTTAGAGAAAGTTTGCTAGTTGGGCTCCTGAGACATTCTGAGCTAGCCTAACAGGTGTAAAGGGTCACAGAGAACGTAGGTGCTTCCTTCTGGATGAGTCCCTGTGTTTTTTAACTCCAGTCCCTTCCTCTTCCAGTGAGTTGCAGCTGGTATTGCGTGACAAATCGGACAGTCTAGCCTTGCTATGCAAACCATCGTCCATGGGCTAGCAGTTTTGGTATCACCTAGGAGCTTGTTAATAGTTTAGAAGCTCGGAGTAATCCCAGACTCGGCCAGTCTGGGATTCTGCATTGTAACAGGAGCCCTGGGTAGTCATTCGCCTATTAAAGTTTGAGAAGACGGGTCTAGAAACGCATAAGCCTGCATGGTGTGGAATTGAACTTCTGTTCCTAATTCCATCCCTGATTTACATTTTGGAAAGATCCCTTACTGTTTTTCAAGAATCTCCATTTTTTTCTCCTTTATGAAATAAAAATAGTTTTCCTCTTCCTTGGCAAAGGCTTGGCAGCTCGTTGAGGTAGCTTGGAAAGTGCCTTATGCGGTAGAGGGAATGGAAGTCCTGTTATTTCACCCAAGAATACTAAGATAGACTCTTGCAAATAAATGCACTGGAAACACTTGATTGTCAGACAGAATTCATTTCTTGTGCTGCAGAAGACAAGGGAGGCGGAAATGATGGACTTGGCTTCACTTTCTAGCATGAGACAGGCCAGCGGTCTTTGTTGGCAATCTTTTTCCTGCTCCTTCTACAATCTGGTAAAATACGATAAATAACCTAGTGCTTCCTAATATGATATTATAATGTAGAAAAATATTTACATAAAAACACAAAAGGGAAATTTTAAAACATTGCTTTATGCAGAAGCTCCATAAAGGCACGTGGTTAACATACCAGCACTACCCTCTCTGGAGGGATTGGGAAGACTCTCACCTGTGCTCTGGGGTCGGGTGTAAGTTGAATGCTGCTATGTGCTTACACCCTTTGGGTCTTTTGTTGTCCTCTGAATTCTGTTTATCATCTTCTTCCATTATTATTGGATGTTCATTTTATGGCCCTGTGAAGACCTAAGCACCAGATTAGCAGCAGTAAAAACAATACAAAGCTCCTAGGTGGATCATACACATGGTTGGATCAGAGGTATGTCCCCTGAGTATTTAACAATGTATTGTACGTCTCTCAGATTATGACACAAAAAAGCTGATAGGGATATTTCCTTGACTCCCAATATCACCATTTATTATTTTATTGTCCTTATGTTTATGGGCAATTCTGGCATCCCATTATTAGAGGTCAGAATTATGTATAGTCTTTCAGTTTCAGGTTTACCCCGAAAAGGGTTAGATAGTTAGAGGAAAGAACAGGAACGTTTACCTTTCAGGTTTCCCCCATTTCCTCAACAGTTTTAAACTTATCCGAGCATACATGCTCCTTTCCATTATCTCCAGTTTCTAAATGAATTCAAATAGAGAGTGTTTTTTGAACATTATTTGGTCATATTTTTGGTGGATTCTGCATTAACTTTCAGTAATCCCACAGGTCCACTTTATCTGTGTATTAATTTTAAAGTTCCACTATTTCTTGGGGGACTGGAAAGTCAAGTTGTACATGCAACACACACACATACACACACACACACAGTTACACACATGCACATACACCACACATGTGTATCATATGCACACACAATGCGTACACACCACACCACATACACACATACACACCACATATACATATCACATGCATACACCATACCACACACACACACACCACATGCATTATATACATGATGCATTACAAAAAAGACCATATACATTACACACAGAGACACCACACACAAATAGATAACCACACACACATACCCCCCACACAAACCCATATTCTTATGATTAATGTTCCCATTTAAGTCAGGGAAAGGAATGTGGATGGGGGAGAAAGATAATTTCTGATATTTTTAACAGCTTCATTTTACATTCTTACAAACAATGTATAAGGGTTCCAATTTCTCCATATCTCTGTCTATTTTTATTATTGTCTGTCTTTAAAATTTTAGCCATCCTGGTGGGTACAAAGTAGTATCTCATTGTGGTTTTGATTTGTATTTATCTAATGACTAATGATGTTAAGCATCTTTTCATGTGCTTTTTGTGGAAAAACTCCCTTTTGATGTGTGTAAGTGTGAACCAAAAGTTCTAATTGTATTCAAATGCAGTTTTGAATATCTCCCCCTTTTTTGGAGTCTGTTTTGGTAGAGAGAAAAGAGGTTTGCTGACCAGTATTTTAAGTTAGTTGTAAAGTTAGTTCAACATCTTTGCCCTCTATTTTATGAAAAAACATTGGGAACACCTATGGTAGCTTTCTGACAATAGATGAGGAAAATTTAATTATTGCTTAAAGATTTCTTTTCTTCTAAGTAAAAACTGTAAAGTAAGACAAGTTTGCTTGATTTTGAAGCCTTCTGTTAATATTGCATGCTTTACCCTCTTCTTTGGAGAGGCGCCTTTTTTCAGTTCTTCTTCATGCCATGCTTTGTAGATGGCTCTCTATCAAGCTTCTCTGTGAAGCACATAGACACTAAAAAGTAATGGTGGAAAAGAAATCTTGCTATGCATCTTTCTTAAATTTATTTTCAGGGAATGAAGGAATAAAGGACAAAAGTTCTTAGTGGGATATTAAAGAGATATCGAGAGATGAAGACTTTTCTTTGGTAATCTATATCATTTGGGGTCCTTTCAGTTGTATGTGACTGAGATCTACACTGAGAGTAATTTAACAAAAGGCAACATTTTGGCTCCTATTATCTGCAAGGGCTCCAAAAGAATCACCAAGATCCATGTTTCAGCTGTATCCTGTTGATTGGCTCCATTCTTATGATTCTTGGGGTGATCCCTGGAAGCTTCTAGCTCATATCATCACTGTTTAGAAGAAAAGAGAGATTGGTTCCCTTTGGCCTCAAACAAATTCTCAGAACTGAGTCTTCCTGGCCCCGGTTGGCCTGACCTGAGACATATGCTCATCCCTGAATCAATGACTGTGGCCAGCATGGTGGAACTGCCATTAGCTTAGCCTCGGTCATGTGGTCCCTTCTGGATCCTGTGTGGTGTCACTTCACTGGAAGCATTTGGGCTGAGGCTAGCAATTTGTGGTTAAGAAGTGGGGGTGGAAGTATGTGGCAGGATGAGGAATGATTATTATTTGCTCAAAGCCACAAAGATCAGATGGAGATTCCTTCTTTCAAAGGGCTGTTCTAAGAAGGACATTAAAAACTCATCAGGAACAATGGTTCTCAAGCTTTAGGTTATGTATTAGTTTGCTAGGGTTTGCTTGTCTCACCACTATGTTTTAGAAGCAGCTAACTTGTTTCACAGATTCACAGATGGAGAGGAATTTTGCCATACGATGAATCATTCTCTGAGTCTCACCAATACCACATTTAGACGATATTTGGATTAGATTTTGGATTTAGAATTGATGTTGTAGTGGGTTAAGACTCTTGGAGATGTTGGGATGGGGTGAATGCATTTTACATGTGAGAAGGACATGAATTTGGAGGGAGCTAGATGGTGGACTATTATGGATTCAATGTGTCCTTCCAAAATTCTCATGAAATCTTAGTTCTGAAGTACCTTAGAATGTTACATTATTATAACTGAGGTTGTTGCAGATGTAGTTAGTTAAGAGATGTCAGGAGGGTGAGCTCCTAATCCAATTCAACTTGTATCTTTATAAAAGAGTTTGGACACAGAGATATACACACAAGGAAAACACTCCATGAAGATTAGTTTTGCTGCCACAAGCTAAGGAACTACCAAAATATAGAAGAGAGTCCTGGAAAAGATCCTTCCATTGTGCCTTCAAAGGGAACATGGCCCTGTCCTAACAAAGTACCATAAACTGAGTAGCTTCAACAACAAAAATTTATTGTCTCACAGCTCTGGAAGTCAGAAGTGTGAGATCAAGGTGTCAGCAGGGCCTTGTGTTGGGATCATAGAATCTAATGTTCTCAACTTGATTTTAACTGAGTTTATTGTTATTTTTTTTATTTTAATAGAAGAAACAAAGTTGTCTGAAGATGATGAGATGGAGAAACTCTACAAATCGTTAGAACAAGCCAGTCTCTCTCCCCTTGGGGATCGTCGACCTTCAACCAAAAAGGAGTTGAGAAAGTCCTTTGTTAAGCGATGTAAGAATCCATCCATAAATGAGAAACTTCACAAAATCCGAACCTTGAATAGCACATTGAAGGTAAAAAAAAAAAAAAAAAAAAAAAAAAAAAAATTCTGATTGTGGATTAACTGTGGATATGGGGCAAGGCTGGTTCTGTAGAGAGAATCATGTTCACCAGAGTGTTTGTATGAGTAGAAGGGAGGGCAGTAAAAACAAATACAATCCTCTGTAGGGTCAGATGACCTTTGGCATCCTTAAAGCACTAGACCATTCACATAGTAGCACCCATTGCACTACCTACATTAGGCCTTGACTTTTGCATTCACTTGGGTCTAAAAGTTCAAATGCTAATCTTCTAGACCCTTTACCTACCACGATAAATGTTAATGAGGGCTTAAAATAGTTTGTGAGAATAAACAGTAATATTAAATAAGATCTTGGAATTTCACCTGATTCGTTAAAGAGTGCCTTTCTTCTCCTACTACATCCAGAAGAAAATCTCTAGATTTCAGATCGAGCCAAGACTTCATGATTCTCAGCCTTAGGCTTTGGAGCCAGAACATGCCATGAAAGATGGTCAATGGGAAATGTATGGTAGATTGGAATAGGCCAGTCGATGTTTTCACAGTGGGAATGGGGGACAGGGTACAAAACATACTGAAGTTATTTTCAGTGCCTCCTGAACTAAAATGGTTCTTCATAACAAAAACATCTTGCTTTCACATGTAGACTATAGCATGAAGAGGAAGAGGTCAGGATACTTTGTAAAATAGTCCCAAATTGGCAGAAGATTTATAGATTCTGAATAGCCTTGATAGATTCTGCAGTTTAATTTGATTTGTACATGTCCTTTTGCATCAAGAATTTGAGTTTCTTTCTAGGAAGAAATACCAGCAATCAAAGGACAAGGCTACAAAGAAATGGCTGGGTGATTCTTGGTCAGATGTTGCTGTTAGTTGGTAGAATAGCTAAGCACCCAAAAAGGCTGCAAAAAATGAGGCTGAAAGAGAAAAGGCAAAGGAGTATTTTAATTATATAAAGAAAATCTAAATGCAGAGAAATTCTCCAATGCTTAATGATGAAAGACATCAGTTGCATTCCTTTCAAGTCCAAATATATTATATCCCATGATATGTATGTAGTTGATAAATACTTTTGGTCATTCAATGTAATATACCATAGCATGTTGGGATTTTACTATCTTATTTGTGATAACTGATATAAGTGAATACATTTTTCATTAGACAAATATTTCCTGAATTTTACTATGTCCCAGATTCTATTCTTAGACACTGGGAGCATTGAATGCACCCCACCAGATGGTGGAAACAGAAAGGAAAACAGAATTCAATGTGTTTAGAGGTATAGCTGAAACAAATTTGGGTGATTTGGTAGCCTGGAGGAGGCACATGGCTGCCTTTCTGAAGCCACTGGGAACAAAGTCATGGAAATGCTGACAACTGGCCCATGAGTAAGCGATGAAGAATATCAGGGTGAGAAGGAAGTTCTTTCATGGAGGAGGAACTGTCCTAGAGAAATGTGTATCAGGGGAGGTTGCAGCCCATGTTGGAGAAACAAGGAATAGGCTAAGGAAAGGTTGGACAGTTCAGGCCATTTCTAGAAGAAGAAAGACTATGTCTTAACTTTCCACAGAATAGCAACACAAAACTCTAGACTGTCACAGGACCATGCCCTCCCCTGGCCACTGGGAGGCCAGATTTGTACAAAGAATTTGGTTCTCTGTGACCTCCTGCTCTCCATATACTATGGCCATGGAATTTGTGAATTCAGCAGCTTTTTAAATTTTCTCCTTGTGTATTAGTTATCTATTGTGAGGTAACAAAATACCCCCCAAATTAGCAACTACAAACAATGAACCTTTGCTGGTTCACCATTTTTGCGGGGCAGGAATCTCTCAATGTGGCTTGACTGGGTGGTCTCCCACAATCCTACAATCCTGGTATCAGTTGGGGCTGCATTCATCGCTCCACTGGGGAGTTGTGCTTCCAGGCTTTGTCATGTACTGGTTGGCAGGAATCAATTCTTTGCAGGTTGCTGGACTGAGGTCCCATTGTTCACCCATTTCCTTGCCCTGTGGATATATAGTAGCTTCTCCAATGGAAGTTGGCTTCCCTCAGAGTGAGTAAGACAGCAACAGTGACTGAGCAAGATGGTTCTGGCCTGTCTCAGCAGTGACACCACGTTAGATTTACAGTGTTCTATGCATTAGAAGCAACACACTGGGTGAGCCCATGTTCAAGGAGGGGGAATTACATGAAGGCAGGAATGCTGGGAAGCAGGGAGCACCAGGGGCCATCTTGGGGCTATCAACCACAGCTATCTGAAGATCTGCTGCTGTCTCTGTGCATTCCTGGAATGAAACCTTTTCCACAGATCCCTTAGATGTCACAAAAGGGTAATTTTGGGGCTGGTGAAATGTAATCAATGTTATGTGGTCCTATGAACCTCATCAGGAGATAGGAAGACACACTGATGTGGAAATTGGCCTTCTTGGATTAAAAAAAAAAAAAAAAAAGCTAATCAACCTATTCACTGGAGAAAGATAATTTGGTACATGTTTGTTTCTTCATGTCAGAAGGCTATAAGAATTATTTTAACTACCTGTAATTGAATCAAATTTGATCATAATTATATTTTAAATTCAGAACAGTCAGGATAGTCATTGCCTTTAAAGAGGAGGGAAGATATTCCTAGGAGTGGGGCCACAGAACAGCTTCTGAGGTGCTGGGTAGGGTCCCCTCTAGCCTCACAGGGGTTACACAGATGTATCTCATCTCATCATAATTCATTAAGCACAAAGATTTCTATATGTGCGTTTTTGTCTATGTATATTACATTGTGATATAAATGTCTATTTTAAAAAATACTTCAAAACTGCAGTGTGAACAAGATAACATAGTTTCATGCAGAAATAATGAAACTGTTTTAGCAATAATGTTTATATTCATGATAGGCACATTTCATAAATAAAGAAAACCCTTACACTGGGATTACACTGGAACAAAGTCTCTTTATGGAAATTCTAGGAAGTTGAGCAAACCATCTTGTCATACCCTAAATGCAGATCTTTAGGAATTTCTGATAATTCAACATCCATTGACTTTTGGCTAAGCATGTCTCTCTTTTTTTTTTAAATGAATAATTAGGGATGCCCAGGTGCCTCAGTTGATTGTCTGCCTTCAGCTCAGGTCATGATCCTGGTGTCCTGGGATCGAGCCCAACATCGGGCTCATTGCTCAGTTCCTCTGCTTCTCCCCCTGCCTGGGCTTGCTCTCTCACCCTCTCTCTCTTTCTCTGTCAAATAAATAGGTAAAATCCTTTAAAAAATAATAAAATTAATAATTAATGGATCCAACTGAAACTTGGTCTCAGGCCTATTCTAGTCTGTGTCAAAAGAGGAATGAACCTTCCTTTCCCCAATTTCTGTGGTAGAACCCATTTTTCAATGCTTAGGTCTTAAGTCAGGTCATGTGTGTACTGACTGTTTGGAGTGAAAAAGGAAAGTAGAGCATTTTCTCTCTCATGGTATTTCCTGGAGGCCCTGCCCAGCCTTGCCTACCAGAAGGCAAGGAGGATGTTGTAAATGTAGTTCAAAGCGTCTGGTGAGCCTGCTGTACTGCAGGGGAGAGGCAGGGGCAGTGCACCATGGTGCTGACTGGCATGCTTTGCTGGTTAGCATTATAGAGCCTGCTGTTGTTTCATTAACTTTCTTCCTTTCTAGTCTTGTCTACAGTTATTTCTTTCATCCGTGAAAGAACTTAACACAGACTTGAGCCAAACTGGTAAGAAATTTGAATTGTTTAGGGCTGAAAGGCATAGGAGAAGTGTTAGCCCAAAGTTGAATAGAACTTTTCTTAAAACCTTTGATCAGATTTAGAGGGGTGGTTAATTCATTTTGCCTTAAGAAAACTAGTTCTTCAAATTTTGTTTATCTGCAAATATCTTATTTAATTCTTTCAATAAAATGTTAGGATCGCTCTCTGAAGCAGATGTCAAAATTTTTTTGTGTGGAATAAATTGTAATTTTTTAAAAAAGATTTTATTTATTTATTTGACAGGCAGAGATCACAAGTAGGCAGAGAGGCAGGCAGAGAGAGAGGGGGAAGCAGGCTCCCTGCTGAGCAGGGAGCCTGATGCGGGGCTCGATCCCAGGACCCTGGGATCATGATCTGAGCCGAAGGCAGAGGCTTTAACCCACTGAGCCGCCCAGGCGCCCCTAAATTGTAATTTTTAATAATTTTTTTTAAAAATTTATTTATTTGAGAGAGAAAGACAGAGAGAGAGAGAGAGAGTGAGACAGAGCAAGCAGAAAGCCAAGGCAGGAGAAGGGTAATGCGGGAGAAGAGGGAGAAGCAGGGCTCGATCCCAGGACCCTGAGATCATGACCCAAGTTGGAGGCAGATCCTTAACTGACTGAGCTACCCAGGTGCCCCTTTAATAATTTTTATTAAGTTTTTAATTTTCATTCCAATATAGTTAACATATGGTGTTATATTAGTTTCACGTGTATAATATAGTGATTCAATACTTCCATACATTCCTCAGTGCTCCTCATGAGAAATGTCCTCTTTATCCCCATCACCAATTCATCCCAGATGTTGAAATTTCCAAGAACAAAGTAAAACTCCTTAAACAACTTCCTATGAATAGCACTATGGTGGTATTAAAGGATGAAAGTTCATTTTTTGAGGAAAAGATGGTAATTTGAAGTGCAGATGTGAGAACTCAGAGGGAAGAAAGAAAATTCTCTTGGCCTTGCTTGATTTTCTACAAGCAATCTTTTCTTGTTACCACGTACTTAGCCTGCCTTCTCTCTGCCTCCTGCTCTTGGTCAGCCTGCTTATTATCACTCTTTGGTTACTTTCCCACTACACAATTTTTCTTTCCTTCCTGAAATCCAAATACATATTTTAACCTCCATCTATCACCACATTCTTGCTCTCTTGATTCAAAATTGTGAATCTTACCACTCAGATTACTGTATATGTGTAGTAAAAAAAAATTAAAAAAGTAGAAAAAGAGAGAAGAAAATGTAATAAAATGTCTTAAGTAAAACATAAGTTAAAGATAATTGTAAGGAACAAATAATACATTTTTTAATGTCAGTGTTTGTGATCATCTAAGACCAAATCCTTCATTTGGGTAGAAGAAATGTTACCAATTCTGGAATCCCAAAACCATATACAAATGTGTAGACATAAATATCTATCTATGTATCTATATATAAACAAATATAAAATATATAAGAAATAATATGTGCATAAAACACACACATACATATAACCTTTTTTTGTTTGCTTACAAAAAGGATTTCTTCAAGGTTTTAAATAGGGTTCATGATACAAAAAATGGACAATTATTCATTCACATTTTATTTAATGCATTCATTTTTAAAATATTTTATTTATTTGTCTGACACAGAGAGAGCACAAGTAGGGGAAGCTACAGGCAGAGAGAGAGAGGGAAGCAGACTCCTCTCTGAGCAGGGAGCGGGGTTCCATCTCAGGACCCTGGGATCATGACCTGAGCTAAAGGCAGACGCCTAATGATGGAGCCACCCAGGCAATCCAACATATATTCATTTTTCTACAACAAATATTTAGTAAAGCTTTGTTTAGTAAAGCAGTGAGCATATCAGGCAAAAATGCCTGCCATTAAGAAGCTTACATTTGGGTACTAGAAGAAATTAACTAACTAAATGAATTTTATAGATGCTAAGTGATGATAGATTTGATAGAGAAAAGGAGGATGAGGAATGCTGATGGATTGATTTTTAATTAGGATAGGCATGAAAAGGCTCTTTGAAAAGTAGAATTGGAGTAAAATCTGAGAAAGGAAAAGGAGTAAGTCTTGATGCAATCCCACGCAGAAGGCTACAGGCAGAAAGAACAAAAATGCAAGTGTTTTGGGATGGGAATATGCCTACTAGGCTTGAGGAAGAGCGAGGAGATCGTGGCTGAAGTGCTGCAGGAGAATGGGGCATAGGGAGATGGTCCGAAGGGTGGGTCAGAAGGGCGATGAAGGATTATAACATACTGTGCCTTATTGCCATTGCCAATACTTTAGCTTCTACCCAGTGATATAGGAAGCCTTTGGAAGGTTAGGAACAGAAGGGTGCCATAGTTTGACATATTTTGAAGGGAGAACTTGGGACTTGCTGGTAGATTGGCAGTGAGAGCAGGATGATTGCAGTATTTGGCCTGAGCTACAGGAAAGGTGGAGTTACCATTAGGTGCTCTGCAAAAGGCGGTGATAGAAACAGGCTTCAGTGTGTATTGGAACTTGGGATGGGCGGGGCATATAGAGAATACTAGGAGCTTAGTTTTGAAGATTTTATTTTTTTGTTTATTTAAGAGAGGTAAAGTGAACGCTTGCACATGTGGGAGGTGGGGCAGACAGAGAGGGAGAGAGAATATGGAGCAGGCCCTGCACTGAGCAGGGAGCCCCACACAGGGCTCAATCCCACGACCCTGAGATCATGACCTGAGCCAAAACCAAGAGTTGGTCACTTCACTGACTGGAACCACACAGGCACCCTAATAGGAGCTTAGATTTGGACATGTTGTATTTGAGATGCCAGTATGTGTCCAGGGGGAGCTGCTGAAGAGGAAGTTTAGACAAACCAGTATGAAGTTCAGAGGAGAGATAAGCTTTGCCAGATAAATTTGTGATCCTTAGTATATAGGGAGAACGGGAAATCTGAGATTACATAGGATTAGCAAGAATGCTGTTATACATAGAGGAAAGAAGAGGCTAAAGTCTGGGTTCTGGAGCTCTCCAATGTTCAGAGATTGGGCCAGAATGAGGAATCAACAATGGAGAGTAAGAATAAGTGGCCATTTTAGGATGAGAAAAATCAAGAAAATGTGTCACAGAAATGGCATGATGAAAATGTTCAAGAAGGAGCAGTCAATAGTTTTAGATGTTGTTGATAAATAAATTGAAGGTAAATAGTTATTGGATTTAGCAACATGGGGTTCACTGATGACCCCAACAAGAGCAGTTTTGGCTGAATCCTGATGGAGTGGGTCTCTGAGATAGAATGGGCACGGTTGTGGGGGGAGGAATATTGAAGACAAAGAGAAGAGTGGAGCATTCCCTCGAGCAGAGATGTGGGGTTGAAAGAGGGCTTCAGAGATGGGAGAGGTGATGGCATGTATTATGATCAAGTGAAGATGGGAAATTAATGAGTCACAGGAAAGAAGGGAGAACTGTGGGAGTGAATTTCTTGAGGATGCAAGAGTGGGTAATAATGCACAAATGGAGAGATTGGCCTTTGCTAGGAGCACAGAGATTTCATCCAAAAGAACAGGAAGGAAGTCTGAGATGTACCTGTCTTGATGTAGGTAGTAGGCAATGGGAACTTGGGAGAAGTGTTCTTCTGATTGTTTCCATTTCCTCAAAAAAAAAAAAATAGTAAGTTTATCTGCTGTAAGGGAGAATAGGGGAGGAGGTTTGAGTAGAGATGAAAAGTTTTGAAATAGTAATTTGGGAGATTGGGAGAGAAAAGGAGTGGGAAAATATGACTACTGGATAGTAGTAGTAAAAGCCACTTAATGGCAGTGGTCATGAATTTGAACTGCCACCAGTGAGTCTAATTGTGAATTTTTAGCTACACACATGCTGGCCTGGGGATAGACCAAAAGATTGGCTCAATAATAAACATGTACTGGATGTCTCCCTGGAACTCGGTATTGTGTTAGGTGCAAGGAATACAGGGATGAATAAAATGCTTTCTGTCACCTTCCTTAAAGTGCTTCAGAATAGGGAGCGTGACAGATCCATGTGCATCGAAGTATAACATGGCAAGTTCTAAGTATTGGAAGGCACAAGAGCATAAAAAAACCTTCTCAGTCCAATTTAGAAGTTCAGAGATTTTCTGGAGAACATGATGCCTGAAGTGAGTATAGATTTATGAGGTATAATAAATTTTGGTAAAGAAAGATTGGCAAGTGTTCCATGTGAAAGCAACTCTAGAAAGTAGAGTTCTCCAGAAGAAAGGTAAGGAAGGCCACGTGGTGCAGCATCACGGAGTGTGAAGTGGCATTATGTGGCAGAATGCATACCACCACTGTTGGAGCAGGAAGTGAGAAGGATCAACAGGTGAGCTCAAGTCCACAGAACCTTGGACACGAAGGGGAGCCATTACAAGGACCCCAGATTTGAGGTGGAGGCCCTGCACTGCCATGAGAATGGTGGATTTAAAGGGAGGGTTGGAGGCAGGGTCACATCAAGTGTGAGGAACTGCACTTTGTACCCCAAGTTAGGATTATGGTCAAAGGGATGGAGGAAACAAGAATAGATTTGAGATTAAACTGTCAGGATTAAATGATCTTTTTTGAAGGTGGAAGCTGTTATACCTCATTTTTAACCCATTCGACTACAAAACATTCTCCTCACCTGAGCCAGGTGTTTCAGAAATGTGTGTTATTGGCTATGGAGGACACAGTGTAAAATAACGTGAATAGATTTGTTTGCTCTATTAGCATAATTGGAACACATGCTGTTTTGATGGAAGGTTAGTAGTCTTTTTTTGAATAAAAAGCCTATATATTTATTCGGTATATATTAATTAAATACATGTGTGTGAGTTATCAAAAAAGAGGACAATTTAATAAAAATAAAAATACATTATCTGATGTCTTAGGGATAGTGCTATGTCCCAATTTTACTTAGTGAAGTTTGGGTAGGTCAATGAAATGATGATACAATACGATTATAAGTTTCAGAAGGAATAAGGCTCACTCTGAGATAGAAATATTACTGAGGTGTGGAATAAGGATTGGTCAGGGAAGAGCCATATGGGAAATCCTGCCTATATGTCTAGTTATTCCAGCAGCCTTCACGTAGGACACTTAACTTCTTTTTGACACATACATACAAATGGTTGTTCTGCCATATCTCTTAGGCTTGGTTAGGGATTAGAATATTAGTGTGTAAAAACACCTTGATAATTTTATGATGAATGTATATGTGTACTAAAGGCTAAAGAGGGTTTATCGAAATTAAGATACTGACTATATCTCACACCCTCCTCTGACTTTTTTTTTTTTTTCTCTTCCCCTACTGGGGCAGTGTAAAGAACATGACCTGGCCATGATTAACCAGTTGCTGGATGATCCAAAGCTGACAGCCAGGAAATACAGGGAGTGGAAGGTGATGAACACACTGCTGATCCAGGATATCTATCAGCAGCAGCGGGCCCCTACGCCTGCCCATGAAGGCACCCCCGAGGGACTTGAGGAACCACCTTCCTCTGCCTGTGTTGAAAATTCTATTTGAGAACAAGCCAGCATTCTCTCCCCTGCTATCTTACCCCCAAGTGACTCTCCAAGAAGTTGCAAGAGCTTTCCATCAAAGGAAAACTGAAACCAATTCCTCAAGCATTGGCTCCTTCTCTAAAGAAGCAAGTGAGGTGAGGACCCACTCTGACGGCAGCAGGATTCCTCGTTCCAGTTGGAGTACTTTCATCGAGACTGGAGGGATGGAGTCCAGTTGAACAAACTTCGTGTTCCTGCTTGGAGCTCTCGGTTATGCTAAGCTTTAAGTGGGAAGTGAGAAGTGTATGTTACTTGCTCTCAAGAGAACCACGGTGTTCCAAGGACAAAGATCACATTTTACCAGGGATAATTATTCATAGAAATGTTCTGTTTTCCAAAAAAGAAGAATGTACATATTCCCCCGGCTTGGGTAGTTTAATTCTTCAAATCATTTCTTGGAGTGGAGGAATGTGTTTCACAGCAGAAACTGGAATGGGACAAATGTGGTTTTTTGGAACCCAAATCTCTCTGGAGTAGTGGTGCCTTTTCTACAAGCTGAGAAATACTTCGTGGTGATTGGTGTGTGGGAGAGCCCAAGGGGGAGGCATGTTCTATTGAACACCCTCTCAAAGTACAGTTTGATGTTTCTACACTTGACTCAGGGGTGGGGCAGGGAGGATCTGATTAAAGTTTCCTTTTCACAGAACAACTAAAGAAATCTATCTCATTGGGTGTAGAGACCTCTACTTCCTCCTAGCTTTTCTAATGCACTGCAGGAGATAGAAATAAGTCCACCAAGGAATGCTTGCTGGTTTTGTCTCGGAAGTGGTGCCTAGACACAATGTCAACTTATATCCTGTCTCCCCAGATCAAGATGGACAAAATAATTCTGGTGTCTGAATGGGTTTGATATCTTTACTCCAAAAACACCCAACAAAAACAACAAAAGACTTAAAATATGATTGTTTTATTTTTGTATGTTTGTGTCACCTTGTGTCCTATGTGAATAGCTATCTATAATATGTTTGTTATTTAAGTATATTTATAGAAGGTCAAATTACTAGTGTTTTAAAAGATGGTAAAGTAATTATATGTTTTGCTCAATATATATTCTCTAAGTATATACTTTTTTGCTTGAGAAAATAGGAATACTGTTGATCACTGGAATTATTATGTTGCACTATAATGTATGAGGAATGCTCAGGCTATCTTGTGGGATGAATGTGGAGGCATGTATTAGTAATTATTAATTTTCTGGCTTCTCTTTCTCTCTCTCTCTGCCTCTCTTTCTCAAGCCAGAGTGCTCAGAATTCTGTCACTCTCTTAACCAGAAAAGGACATTCACCTTAGGTTATTTCTTCTAGTAAATAGATTTTTTAAGCTTTATGCCATTTATGCCCACAAACCCTAAACCAAATGAAACACAACTAATATAGTCTTTTGTCTAAGGTCTAATAGAAATTTTGGGGTTTTCTGTTAAAAAGAGGGACTCATTTTATTAGAGAATATGAAAATCTTCCCTTATTAATCACTAGGGATATTTTTCATCTTACGAATAACCGCAACCCACCAAAAACCCATTTTGCCCTTATCCCTAGCTAACTGTCAGCCCAACATGGGCGTGTTTCAGAAAGTCAACGTGTGGCTTGACATTCAAATGGAAATAACCCACTGAATTTTATTTGCAGACTAAATGGAAAGAGTCCTTGAAGGTTTCCCCAAGCTTTACTCAGAAGTGTTAATACTTTGTAAACAAAAACAACCTTAGTATTAAGAAAGAAAAATAACAGGAAACAAGTCAGAGTACTGTAAGTTTTTCTGTAAAATCAGAGGGGATGCCTAGCCAACCTTTAGGAGCCCCTGCTCCTAGTGGGATGTTCTGGGGGATGTGCTGGGGGAAGGACACAGGCTACACAGAAGCAGGGGCTTGGCTTCCAGTGAATTTACTCTTGGCTTTGCAGCTGGAGAGAAGGAACCATGTAGGTCCTCAGATGGGACCCCGAAACTTCTGCTTTGAGAGGCCAGTGCTTTCATCTCGTTACTCTGAGAGTTATCATTGACAATTTCTACAGTTAGCAGCTGTTAGAAGGTTCATTGTTTAGGATTCACGATGTCAAGGAAATGTTGAGGGAAGAAGTACTAATGGAAGAGATAATTGTTGGGCAAAGTTCACATTTTTTCCCTCAGCTTGAGATACCAACTTAGAAACTTCAAAATAGTCTTTAAATTGAAGTGTTTTAGAGAAGCTTTTGACCAGGCCTTGTGAGTACATGTCAGTGCTTTGCTTTGGCTTCTCAGTAAGACACACATAACTCACCCGTTAGTGTAAAGTCCTTTAGGAGCACTCAAACTTGAAGGCAAAATGGGTCCATGAGATTACTGAATTGAACCTTTCAGTTATTTTTCAAAGTCATCAGTCCAGAAATGTTGGCTTTGTGAAAGCACTTACCCTACAGAATCTCCCCAGAGGTTCAGACCAAACTGCCTAGTCTTGTACTCCCTCTTCTAGACCAAGCTTTCCTGCTTGTCAGTGTTTCCCCCTCTGTAAATGCTTCCACTCTGCATTACCTCGTGTTAGGAAGTAGGGGGCTGCCTTTTTGAGGTCCCAGCATCAGCTGTGGCCCCTGAGAGGAAGTAGGGTGGGAGGCAGTAGGAAGTGACAGGCAGAGTGGGTGAGACCTTCCATTCCACTCAGTTTAGGAATAATCCTGCCATTTTTCTGGTGCAAAGGATATTGGGAAAACTGGATTACTTCCAGTTTATTCCTGGGAATTGGGGCATCTCAGAAATGGATTTTGGGTAGTTTCATGGGGGCTTAAGGGGTGACCTCTTTCCCTACCACTCCTGTAGACATAGGATCTGAGGGCTGTGGAATGACCCAGAACCACTGCTGCTCTGAAAGGAGAGGATCTGAGCAAAATCAGGTCCAGCCCTGTGGCACCTGCTGTGGATTAGGATCCGGATGGGACACCTCTTTGGGGCTGCAGGGACAACCCCTCCTCTCGTCGGTGAGCCTGTAGACCCAGACTATGCCTGGTAGGGTACCTCCATGACACACTCTCAGTGTAGCATCAAAGACCCAGGATGAATCATAATGTATACAACTGCAAAGACTCTAGGAAGCCTAAGAAAGATGGTGTTTGCAGTCAGATTTCAATGTGAAACCCAAGCCTTACATTTATGTAGCACTTTGTAGTTTGCCAATCTGTATGTTCAGGCTTCCCGCAATTTGCTCCCCAGTGGTCTTTGCGGGGATGATGCTGGATTATCATTCCTCCTTTTTCGCCAGGGAGGATATTAGCTTCCCTAAACTCCCTTTCTCTCCCTTTCTCTTGCACAGTTATTGTTGGACCCCAGTCCCATGACGTGGGGTTTATGTATGTGCATTGCACTGGACCGGGCACACCTGTGGGGGCTTTTGTGAAGTCAGCCATGGGAAACCTGAGGGGGCCTCTTTTCCTTGAGCACAGTCTCTTCCTCAGGGCTGAAGGGCAGCTGTCCCTTCTGCAGCCACTGGCTTCTGGGCTGACTGGATTGTGGTGTGACCTAGTCACTCTGTGCTTCCTTTCCTGCCTTCTGGAAATTAGACTGCTTGTTAGGTACTGTGAGATCCTTGGATGAAAGAGGTAGTTAAAGAAATGGAATTCATTTATTTTCTTTTACAAGCGTGTCAGGAGACATCAGAGATGGAGCCTCAGGAATAGGGTAAGATTCTCCACCTTCGTCTCCCGATTTCTTCTCCTGCAATTATGGTAGCTTCCTCAGATAGACTTGAAATGACAAACAATACCACAAAGCTGAAACAGATAGAAAAAAATACACTCTAAGTCTTTTGAGGAGAGGTACTAGACAAATTCCAGCCATATTTAAATGCATGGACACACACCTCTTTTAAGATACTCTCCTTGAAAGATAATATTTTCATATAGAACCACACAGTAGATTTAAGTGAGTAATTTAGGTACAGAGGATGCCTATCCAAAACAAGCCAATATAATAAAACTAACCAAGAACTTTTGGCTAGTTTTAGTATACGCCTCTTCTTCAGTCTAATAAAATATGATATTTGAGATTTTCCATTTTATTTTCCTTCCAGTTTTTTTGTGTGCTTACCTCACAAGAGAAATCGAGTCCTAGAAATGTCAGGTGACCGCCCTGCTAGGGTTTTGTAATGTGTAATTAAAAGGGAAAGCCCCTGAAACTAGGTTTTAACAACCCATATGAAATGGGTGAGAGGAGGAATAATTCTAACCTTCAAAGTATGCCACCCCTCCCTGTGAGCAAGATATCAAACAGCTCCCTGCTTTTCTTCGTTGGGAGACAGGAAACAGTTTCTTTGCTTCCTCTGCATATTTTTCCCCTTTCCCATACTACCACAGACCACAGAAAACATGAAAAAATGATTCTACATTTGCAAAGGTTCTTCCATATCTCTTCTCGTGAGACGTAACGGCTCTGTATTGGTATTTCTTTGTGTTGAGTCCAAAGGGGAAGCATGCTCTGTGGAGACATTAAGCATCCCATAATAAACACCAGGATCTGTAATCATCATAGACGTCAATGTCCTTGCATGATGGGGATGTGATTTTTAGCACTGCATGGTGTTCGGGGCAAGACAACAATGTGGAAATGATCTCTTCAATTTCATTGTGCTTTCATTCTCGGTCACCTGTCCTCTTCGAACTGGAAAAAGAGGCATGGCTCATTTCTTTGGCTTTATGTGTTTGAGATTGACTTGTAAGATATAAATAAAAACAAGAGAAAATATATGTAGTAAAATGACATGGAAAAAAAATGGAAATTTACTAGTGGTGTTCGTTTTCTGCCCTGCTGTGTTGCTTCCTCCAGGAACAAATTTGACTAGGAAGGGTTTGACGACTGGGCTTTTAGCTTCTGCAAAGGTTGTGGTGCCCTCTGGTGGCCATTGTAAGAATAATGGATCTAGACTCGATATTTTTATTTTTAAATGCAGCATTTAATTATGTTGGGAAATGTATTTCAGTAATAACTGATCTGCTCTTCTCCAGAGGTCCTCAGCTTACAGGCTTGTTAGTAAAAAGGTATACTTTTCAAAATTGTTGGTCCACAAAATGTGGCTTGCACGTTTGTTACATACCCCTTATCATTACGAGGCACCCACATTTTATTTAGAGAATTTGAAAAAAATTGCAGATCACAAAAATTAAGACCTGTGGCGCATATGTTACTTAAAATGCATAAGCTGTTTCTTTGTGAAAAATGACCAAAGAGATATTGAAATAGCATAATAAATTGCTTTTATTTTGGATCACTGATGGGAGGAAATTAGCCTACATTTGAACTTGATTCACAAATCCTGTGAATCTGTGAATCTTGTGCTGTCTACACAAACAAATAAGGAGTAATTTTTTCTCTCTCTTTCAGTTATCACTTCACATGTTGAGCCCTACCCTCTTTTTTCCTCCATCCAGCTACTACCTCTTATGTCTGGGCTCCCACACAGAAGCCGGAAAAATCCTAGACCAAACGGATCAGCAAAAGGTATAGGTACAGTGTATTCCTGATTTCTACAACAACCTTGTATTAGTTTTCTGTTGCTGCTGTAACAAATTACTGCAAATTTAGCAGCTTCAAAGAATGTGTTTTCTTATAGTTCTGGAGGTCGGAAGTCTGATAATGGCTTTCTTGGGCTAAAATCAAGGTGTTGGCAGGATTATTAGTTTTATGTATATCTCTTCTTCAGTCTAATAAAATATGATATTTGAGATTGCTCCAGGAGGAGAATACATTTCTCCTGGAGGCTCCATGGGAGAATACATTTCCTTCCCTCTCCAGAGCACCCATATTCTTTGCTTCTTGTTTCCTTTCCTCTGTCTTCAAAGTCAACAATATTGTATCTCTGTGCACCCTTCTTTCTAGCTACACCTTCTTTCAAGGACCCTGGTGATTATACTGGGTCCATTTGATTAATCCAGGACACTGTTTTTATGTCAGCTGATTAGCAACCTGAATTCAATTTGCAACCTTAATTCCCCCTGGCCCTTAATTCCCTTTCGTGACCTATACATGGTTTCCAGTGATCAGGGCATTGTTCGGCCTGCCGCAAACCTTCATTTCAAATATCCTGCGTTGTCTCCCTTGAACCATCAATTTCTCCAAGGAAGTCTAGGATTTCCAAGTTTTAACCACAAGCATGAAAGTTCTTTGTTCTACTTTGTGACTTTAATTTGTTTTCATCAAAATATGTTCACCGTAAGAAGGTAATTCCATCTTTTGGAGAAAACAAAGTCTTAGCTTTTAGAAGCACATATACATAAGTGTAACAGGTACAGTATCATAATAATCAGATCAGGTTTTAATAATACCTGCATTTAAAGACAAAGCCTTACAAAGTTACTTTCAAGGATCAAGTATCATAAAGCAAAAGATAATTTAGGTTTCATATGCTTAGCTTTGTGAGCTGCCCTGTGCCCTATCAGACTGACTGAGGGTGTGGCCAAGTCATAGGATAAAGAGACTCTTGTTGGTGCAGGTTGATGTTCCAATGTACTGATAAGCATAGAATTTCAGACGT